CATCAAAAGTTAAAAAGGAAAAAAGAAGTATTTTTCTTTCTCTCTTTTAGAGGTTAAACTCTGTAGTTAGTTGTATATGTGTTGGATTTTAAAATTTTTAATTATTAGTTTTTTCGGTACATCTAAATGAACTATAAAAGAGAGAATAATCATTCATTTTTTTTAAATTACTTTACACCTAACTCAAAATTTGAATATGAGATCTCTAATTAAAAATCCCAATTTTTTAATCATTAAGTCACGGAATGAGGTTAAATTTTTTAATTATTAGTAGTGATAAATATAGGACTTATGGGCTGCATTAATGTCCATGGTAAGACCCACAATACTGTGGGCATTTTCACTTACTCTTCTAGTCCTCTTTCTTCTTTACGGGACGTTTTCCCCTTCTCCTTCCAAACCCACTGGGCCTGTTCGAATTTTTAACATAACAAGATGGGTCAAAAGAAAATTGTCCCGCTGGAGCCAGATGCTGGACGGAGATGGAGAGACAGGGCTGGACCGAATAGTAGTAGGCCTTAGTAGAAGTTAAAATGTCAAAAACTATTATCAACCGAAACGTAAACCTATAAATTTGAAATTATGGTAATGAACTTGAAGTTTTAACAAGTTTGAGTTTGAATTCAGCTTGTGAGCTAAATAAATTCACAATCTTTTAAAAAAATAATATTAATAACTTATATAATTAATTTTTTTATTAAATTCAAACTCAAGTAACTTGTCAATTTTCCTAAATTTGAGCTTGAAAGTATTTTCTAGTTCAGCTAAGCCTAATTCAGGTTTGATTAAAGTTACTCAAACCCATTTATAGCTTTAACTTTGTCCCATTTCATGAAAATATAGCAGTATAATTTAATATATTACATATCAATCGTAATTTGATTTTCATTTTTTAATATTATAAAATCTAATCCTTTAAAAAATGTTTTAAGTGATTAAGAGTATAAAAACTTTCAAAGCCTAATGTAGTGGAGCTTTGAGCTCAACTTGCTTATGTAATGAAAGTTGATTCCAGGCATGTGACCTCATTTATTAACTTATCAAGTTTTAACCACTAGTTATGTAGTTTAATGGCAAAGTTATATATGTCCATAGCCACAAATCTAAAATTCAAATCATAATTTACGAAAAAAAAAAATCCTAAACCATGGAGTTTAATTACTAACTCAAGCTTAACTTGTTTACTAATCATTCAAACTGAACCAATCGCAAATATGTTGCGAACTCATCTCATTTCTACCCTACCTTTCAAGATGAATACCTATTGCCCCTAAGGCACGTCCCATTCGTAAAGAGTTCAAATATTTATATTAAAAATTTCACATTTAAATGTTAAAATAGATGAAGAGAGATTTAGAAAAAAAAATTATTATTTGTTTATAACATATCATTTAATGTACCGAAAACAAATAAAGACAAAATATCTATTGAAAATTTCTTCTATTACCTAGAATTTGGTGCGGTGGATGCACTAATAAGGCAGCAGTAATCTCAGTCTCTTGTTTTCTAGCTACCTGTTGAAGCTAACATAGAAATGCAGATGCATTGGTTTTGACATCTTACTTTTCTGGGAAACCGTAGTTAATATGCTCAACCACACCCAATAAAGAGCAATGAATTCTGTCAACTGCCTGTCACTTCCGCTTTCACTCACTTCTCTATATATTGAGACCATCACCAGCAAGAAGCAACATAGCATTAGATTAAGGTTCTTTCCTTCTACTTCACTTCCTTCAAAGACTTGTTTGTGTCCTAAAGAGAGCTTGTAATGGCTAGTTCTGGGGTCCTTGTGGGGTGGTTGGTGCTTATGTGCATGGTGTTGTGTGGTCTCCAGGCCCAGGCAGCAGTGACTTGTGGGGATGTGGTGAGGAATCTGACCCCATGCATATCTTACGTATCAAACGGTGGCAGCATTCCACAGACATGCTGCAATGGGATCAAGACCCTCTACAGTGCAGCTCAAACCACAACTGACCGCCAGACTGTTTGCAAGTGCATCAAATCTGCTGTTAATGCCTATGGAAACCAGTACTCCAACTACAACCTTGACCTTGCGGCTGGACTCCCTGGAAAATGCGGTGTCAATATACCTTACAAGATCAGCCCCTCTACTGATTGCGACAAGTAACTTATCATCAACTGCCTTACTTTCTACACACACAGCATATATTTCTATTTATACTCCTAAAGTTACTAATGTTATTCTTTCTGGTTTTTAAATGTTACAGGGTGAACTGATGCACCAAGGAACGTTCATTCTCATCAGGGTTCAGGATCTAGTAAAAGCTTAAAATAAGTGGGCGTCGGATCCACCTAGAGCTTTTGTATAGACTAGAAGCTCTCTTTTGCACTGGTAGTAGTCCTCAGGTGGATGGAACTCTATTGTAATTGGTGTTGTTTTTAGATGGTCCTGGTGAGAACAAAATATTAAGTTTGGTGTCTGTATCTGCCCTATCCGTCTAAACTATTAATGATTACGTCTGAAGTTCTACCATGACCCTTCTGTTTCTCACATTAATGCATTTTGGGTGACCTAAATTCCTGGAGCTCACTTATGACACAGCAAGACATACCAACTGACCAAGCAACAGCCTTTCTAAATTTTCATTGGCGTGTACATCACATTAAGTTTCTGAACACCAAATCTAGAACAGCACTATTCCCGTAATGAGCTCCGAAATGGACAAAAATAACCTGATAACCTATACTAAACGAATTAAAATTCCACTTTATCTACAATAGTTTTGGGTAAGTGCATATAATTGCCTAAGGTTTACCTTGTTACGCAATAATCACTTGAGATTTGATATATATATATATAGTAAAGATTTATTTATAAATAAATTTTACATATTATATTTATATAAAATTTCATAATTGAAATTTATTTATATTTATTAAAAATAATTATTTTTTATTTAAAAAAACGAATTAAAATTCCACTTTATCTACAATAGT